AAAAATAGAATTAAAAGATAATACAAATCTTTCCATGAACTTTTTGAAGTACCCTCATATTGTTCTGTCTTTACAACTGTATTATACAGCAATGACTTTCTGACAGTTGGTCACATTAGATGTTATTTATTAAATTTTCTGATTATTAATTTGGAAAAATAAGAATGGTAGTTATAAAATATTGATTTAGAACTATATTCTTTTAACATTTGTATATATAAAATTTTGAAAAGTTTTGTTGTCTTGTGTTTATTATAGATTCATTATATTTTAAAACCAGATGGAGTGTTTGTTGGTGCAATGTTTGGAGGCGACACACTCTATGAACTTCGGTGTTCATTACAGTTAGCAGAAACGGAAAGGGAAGGAGGATTTGCTCCACACGTTTCTCCTTTCACTGCTGTCAATGACCTAGGACACCTGCTTGGGAGAGCTGGTTTTAATACACTGACTGTGGTAACTATCAAGAGAATTAAATAACCTATTAATTACACAGCTCAGAAACAACTTCTTTTCATTTTAAAAATAGAAAATTAAATATTGATGGTTTTATGGAAAGGATTTGGCACTTTCTATTTCTCTTGCTCTCTTTTTAAGGAAAAGTTTTTGCTGACTATGTTTAGTTTGTATAAACACATCTTTTTTGACATAAAATAGGAATGTAAAATTTTTAGTATTTGTTACCTGAATAAATAGCTCAAAAAAATCTTTACCGTAGTTAACAAGAAGACTAATTTCTAAACATAGTACTCCATCAGAATCTTTAAATCAAGGAATAGGTGAAATAATGGGAGTTAGAACATTACAGATAATAGAAAAAAGGGGAATATACAGGGGCATTAACAGGACTATCCCCACCACCATCCCTTAGTCAAAATAGTGCCAGTTGAGACAGACAGGAGAAAATATGCATTCTGAAGGCCTAGGGTTAGATCAAGTTTAGGGAAAGTAGGACAGGTGCTCTTCTCTCTTATGGCTGGAGAGATCTGAAAAGAGGACCTGTAGGCAGTCAGTGCAAAAGAAACATGAAGTCAGCATGTACAGGGACAGGATAGGTCATTGGTATTCAGTGGTATAACTTGGATCCTTACCCCACTTCTTTGTTAGCTAAGGGAATTTGCACAATTTATTTTGCCTTTTTGAGCATTCATTTCTTTTAAAAGTTAAAATGTTACCTCAGGAGGCTGTTAGTGTTAAATAAGGTAAAGGATTGTGAAGTGCCTGGACTGTGGGAGATGCTCAGTAAATATTGTCTCCTGCCTTCCTCTTTCCCCATGCCTCTACTCTTAGCACTTTCCAAGACAGCTTCCAAGAGACAGTCATCTGGAGAGAAAATGATTGCCCCTCCTACCTCCCTCCAATAGCAAAGTCATTCTGAAGGATGCCATACTCTCTTCAGAGATGTTTGGATAGACTTACTATGATTTTTCAAACCCCTTAGGCCTAGAAACATCTCTAAACCTGATAGAAAGAAATATGAATTTCTTGATGAAGAAAGCTTCTCATGGCCTAATTAGAGGCGATAGGCTTCAAATTAAAATAGCTGATTGAGGTGATATAGTGTATGTTTCATAAAATCAACCAATCAAAAATAGATTGTTGTATCCTTCCTTGTTTTGATAGAAAGCAAGGGGCATGGACCAGCAGGGTTTCTAATATCGGAAAGGGTGCCTCAAGGGAAGGGAAGAAATAGCAGGCTGGAAGACAAGACTAGGAACTAAAACAGCCCTCAAGATGTTACAGCTTTGTCTAAGGTTGACCTTTTGTAAACTTTTAAATGGCCTGAGTCAATAGAAAATGCATTCTGAGATGTTGAGGAGCTGGAAATCTGAAAACTCTGCTTCACATGAATGCTCTGCTTTGTAATGAAAACAAATATTGTTAATACAGGGATCACTTTATTTATTTATTTATTATTTTTTTTGTCTTTTTTGTCTTTTTTCCGTGTCCGGCAACGGATCGCAACCCTCAGTGTTGCCCTCGTACCGGACCGGGGACCGGTAATGGGATCGCAACCCTCGGCGCCGCTCCCGTGCCTCGCTCAGCCAGTGAGCGGGAACCGGTCTGTATGTGGGATCCGAACCCTCGGGCGGGAGCGCCGCCGCGCTTCCCAAGCGGCGCACCATCCAGTGCGCCACCGGGCCGGCCCCGGGATCACTTTATTTTTAATATATTTTAAATTATATAAGTAATACACAAATATATTTTGGTTGTAAACATTAAACTATAAAGATAAAGTGAAAGTCTATCATTCTCCTTAATTCTAAAAATCATAGCTCTCTTTTGAAAGCAGCATTTCTCAAAATTTTGGTCTCTGGACCCCTCTACACATTGAAAAATTATCGCGTACCTTAAAGGGCTTTTATTTATGTGAATTACATCTATAAATATTAATCATGTCAGAAATTAAAACTGAATTTGTTTTAGTTTTCATTAATTCATTTAAAACTAACAATATATACATATTATTGTTAACATATTTTTCATTAAAAAGAACTATATTTTCCAAAGCAAAAACATTGAGGGGAAGAATGGCATTGTTTCACATTTTCACAAATTTCTTTAATGTATACCTTAATAACAGAGAACTAGATTCTCGTGTCTGCATCTGCATTGGAATATGTTGCTTTACCACATGCTGTGTAGCTACTGAAAAATCCCATTGTAAAATAAGAGGTGAAAAGGACAGATAACATCTCAATATTACTGTAAAAATAGTTTTAACTTCATGGACCCCCAAAAGAGTCCTAGTGACCTCAGGAGTCTATGAACCACACTTTGAGAACTGCTGCCCTAGATGTAGCTACTGTTGTCGGTTTGGTGTGTAATATTCCCAGTTTGTTTGTTTTTTTTAGCAAAACCTACTTTACCATACTGTATGTAGACAATCGTATGTATGTATATACTTCTGAAACTTATTTTTTATTCTGAACAGTGTATTTTAGAGAGTTTTCTAAGTCAATATGGATATATTTGCCCTCCTTCTTAGCTTCTGCATATTATTCCCCAGTGTGAATGTACCACCAGAGTTTTACTTAACTATTTCCCTGAGAACGGCATATAGGTTTGTTCTGATTTTTTGCCAATAGAGACAATGCTACAATGAACATCTTTCTATTCTGTTTCATCTATTTATTCAGTTTTGCAACAAACATTTATTGAGCACCTTCTGTGTGCCAGGCACTATCCTAAGTACTTTGGATATAGCAGTGATCAAAACAGACAGAAGTCCCTGCCTGATGTTCTTGGATTTATAGTAAGCCTTTCAGTAGACTTTAGAGTGTCCAATAACACTGAGATGTTGTACACAAAATTGGTTTATTGTTGTTCATGTTTGGAGGAAAATGCCCATGCTTTTCATCCAACCTTGAGAGCTCTGCTGTGACCGAAAATAGATTAGAAATTACTGGTTTAAAGCCTTAATCTCTAATACTTACTTTACTTATAACATGGAGAAGATTCCCTTTACAGTCCACCCTCTTAAGAATTGTCTCCTGTATTGCTATGTTGCAAACTTATAATTGAGGTGAAAAAGAATCTCTGTCAACGTAAAGCCTCTAAAAAGCAAGTGCTTGTGTGGTGTACATTTTCATGGGGTGATGTTAAAGAATTTGTGCCAGGTCATCCAGGTTGATCAGTAATATTAGGGGACTCAAAAGTTGCTGTCCATTAGGAAAAAGACAGGAATTATATCCTGAGTCCAAAAAGAAAGTTAAATTACATTAACCACATGTGGTTTTCTACAGTTGTAAAGTAGGTTATGCTTTTAGAAAGATTTCTGCGAAAAATGTTTAACCAGACAGTATAGCATTTTTAAAAGCCTACAATTCTGTTAAGTGGGAAATGTAATTTGAAATACCTTCCATATTCTTCAAAAATGAACTGAAAGACTCAAACATTAATATAATACAAAATATTGGTGTAGAATCTTCCTTATAGTTCATAAAATTAGAGTGTTGCTGATTTAGTAGTAAAATTATAAGGAATTTGTTCCCGGGATCATTTGTTATATCCTTTGAGGCATATATACCATCTCTGAAGTGCTGCATTATTATCGTGTCCTAATTCATTTTCTAAATATTTCCATCCACAAAAGCTTTATATAATCAATTACACAGGTTTATGTTGCCTACATTAAGTATATTACATTTATGTTAATTGATTTTTATTTTTAAAGCAAAATCAAATCAAATTAATATCATATAGTTGTATTTACATTGATATGACCCTCTTAGTGAATTATTTTAGAGTGAGTTGGCATTCTAAATGAAGCTCATTTCCTTTTAGTGTAGAGCTGCCAGACTAGTACATTAGGAGAAAGCTGCAAATAATGGTCCATCTTAATTTGAATAAGGCCTTTGATAAAGTTATTATGGTACTCATTTGATTGAAATAGACAGTGCTTTTAGATGGTTTCATGGAAGAATTATTTTCAAAGAATATTGCTTAATGGCTGGGTATCAGCCTGGAAGGAATTTTGTTTCTATTCTTAGGCTCTCTTGTTAAAAATAGTTTATTAATGTAGAAAAGAATATAGATGAAATGATCATGATCCCACTACCCAGAGATGGTCTTATTAAAAAAGCATAGATGCAACCTGATCTATGTATTTGTTTAAAAAAATAAAATAAAATGTATATATAGAGCGAATGAGATAGAGCAAGATCTCAAGTGAAAAGAAGTCCCCCCTCCTGACTCCTTACACCATCCCTCTCCCCAAATATCTGTTAACTGTGTCATACACATCTTTTCAGAACAGTCTTTCCTCATAGACCCAAGTGCAGTTATATCATTTAAACTCACATATGCAGTAATATACACACTTTTTTGCTGATTTTTCCCAGTTAACATATCTTAGAGATCTTTTCCTACCTATATATATCTACCTCATTCTTTTTGAATGGATGCAGTTATATCATTTAAACCCACATATGCAGTAATATACACACTTTTTTGCTGATTTTTCCTAGTTAACATATCTTAGAGATCTTTTCCTACCTATATATATCTACCTCATTCTTTTTGAATGGCTGTGTAGTATTTTATTGGATAGACATTTTAAGATTTATTTAGCCAGTCCTCTATTAATGACATTTAGATTTATTTAGGGCTAATTTCCAATGCAGATAAACTCCTACATCTTAGTGTTTAACACAATTAAGTTTTGTCACATTGCAGCCCCATGCTGGTTGGACAGCCCATTTTGCAACTGTGCCATCTGGCCCTTTTGTCCTCTAAGGTCACCACAGCCAAAGAGACGTCCTGAAAAAGGCTCATTAACTCTTTACTACCTTGCCCCTCCTTTCTTTGGCCAAAAGAAATGTTTGTTTGAGGCTGAGAAGTGTCAAGGAGCACCTGGATATTTGGAGAGCATCAGTGATCTGTGCCACGGTACCAACAATAAACTCCTGTGTCAAGCTTCAAAAAGAAGGGGGAAGTCATTGCCCAGTAGTTTATTTGAGAAATAAACTCTGCATGTACCAGCAATGTGCCCATTTCCTGAACAAGCCAATGTAGTATTGAATGCATTTTTAGAAGTAGAATGAAAATATCTTGGGAGGTGACTATATTTGCCTTGATTCTAGGTGCCACATTTTAAGAAAGATTGATAATTGACTGTGTCCAGAAAAATATAGTCAGAACATGTAATGATCTATAAATTTTGTCTAAAAGACTAGCTCCTCCCTCCTCCCCTCCCCCATGCAAAAAAGAATTTATGGTGTCCTGGAAGAGTTTTCAAAGACTTGGAGAAGAGAATGGTTTGTAGAGCATAGGATAGATTTATTCTGTGTTGTTCTTAAGGAGAGAACTAGAACAAGTTGATGGAGTTTTAGGAAAATTTCTCACACCATGGAGAATATTTATTCAGCAGTTTGAGATCTTCATAAATTAAGCATAAGCCAGATGACCTCTGTGAAGAATATTGTAAATATTTCCTGCTAACCCTGATAGATTGATCTGAGTAATCTCTGTTTCCCCTTTTCAAATTTGGGTTTTTTATAATGAGTGTCAAATAAATATTCCTTTTTCTTTTTAAATAGGATACTGATGAAATTCAAGTTAATTATCCTGGGATGTTTGAATTAATGGAAGATTTACAAGGTAAGGCACTTTAAAGAATTTTTAGACTCCATTTGAGAAATATTTGGAGAGCTCAGTCTATGGCAGGCACTGGGGCTAAGCACTAAGGATCCATTGGTGAGGAGTGAAGCAGACTGTCTGCATGCAGCTTATGATATAAAAGGGAGGAGGCAGACACCAGGCAGCTGTCAGAGATATGGATTAAATTAGAATTGTGGTCATTGCTATGACCACTTATAAACGGATGGCAGGCCTTTCTTGAAGGACATATTTGAGGATGGTAGAACACATCTATGATTCCCTCCAGCAGCAGTTGGCAGCTCAGGTCGAGGCACAAGAAAGCAGGTAGTTGACTTAGTTTAGGAGTGGGGTTTTTGTCAGGGGGATAGGTCTCAGCCTGAGAGACTCAATGAAGTCTTGTCTGAGAAAGTGGCAATTGAGCTGTGTTCTAAAAACGTGAAGGTGAGTTAACTATGTGGAAAGGGCAGGGGAGTGAGTCCCAGGCAAGGAGAACAGAATATGCAAAGGCCATCTTGCAAGAACAGACATAGCAAGAACTGAAAGAAGGGCATTTTGGCTAGAGTACAGGGAGTAAGAAGGAGAGAGTTGTGATGAAATTAACTGGGAGTCAGAAATCATGCATCAGGACCTTATAGGCCTTGTTAAGATGGTTGTCCTTATCTTAAAATGAGGCATTTTAATGAGGGGAGGGGAGAGTGGTCACAATATCAGATCTGTATTTTGAAAAGGATGGATTGGCAGATAAATGAGTAGAGAGACTTATTGCAGTAGAGCTTGTTGAGTGATGATGGTGGTTTGCACTAGGGTTGTGGCCGCCCTGAGTGGAGACAATTCGAAATAGTCATTGTAGAGAATGGGAAGGTGAATTGACCAGGAAAAGGTTCTAGAATTTGAAGGATGCATTTACAGTCAGTCGACCACATCAACAGTAGTTGGCAGCTCAGGACCAGGCACAAAAAAGATAGTTGGGTCAGTTTGGGTTGGGGATTTGCTAGTGGAGAGTGACAGAAAGACAAAAGCAAAAGATAACTCCAAGAGTGTAATTGAAATAATAGATCGAAGAATCTAAGCTAGAAGAAAAGGGAAGTGGGAAAAAGAATGAGCTGAAGAATTAGAAGTGGAGGGGCCGGCCCGGTGGCACACTGCTACAGTGCGCCGCTTGGGAGCGCGGCGGCGCTCCCGCCGAGGGTTCGGATCCCACATATGGACCGGTTC